AGGCTCGATAGCATATTTATTCCCCATACTCATATGGTATTCTGGTATAATAGTTGTAAACAATTTCAATGTTTTATTCTTCTCCATCATCAAATTTTAGGTTACTTCATCACTAAGAAACTAAGTTAAACCACCATAAAATAATGACACATATTTCATATACATTGGTAATAATTCAAATTATATAACAAGGCTTGATAGTTTATTTCTTCACCATATTCACGTTGTGTTATAGTATAATAGATGTAAACAATTTCAATATTTTTCTTTTTCTCCATCACCAAAATTTAGGTTACTTCACCACTAAGAAACTAAGTTAAAAGACTATTAATTAATGACACATATTTCATATACATTGGTAATAATTCAAATTATATAATGAGGCTCGATAGTATATTTATTCATCATACTCATATGGTATTACGGTATAATTATTGTAAACAATTTCAATATTTTACTTCTTGTCCATCACAAAATTTTAAGTTACTTTATCACTAGGAAACTAAGTTAAAAGACCATTAATGAGACTCGATAGCATATTTATTCACCATACCCATATGGTATTATGGTATAATATATGTAAACAATATCAATATTTTTCTTCTTCTCCATCACCAAATTTTAGGTTACTTCATCACTAAAAAACTAAGTTAAAAAACAATTAATTAATGACACATATTTCATATACATTGGTAATAATTAAAATTATATAACAAGGCTCGATAGTATATTTGTTCACCTTATTCACATTTTGTTATGGTATAATAGGTGTAAACAATTTCAATATTTTTCTTCTTATCAATCACCAAAATTTTGGTTACTTCATCACTAAGAAACTAAGTTAAAAGACCATAAAATAATGACACATATTACATATACATTGGTAATAATTCAAATTATATAACAAGGCTCGATAGTTTATTTCTTCACCATATTCACGTTGTGTTATAGTATAATAGATTTAAACAATTTCAATATTTTTCTTTTTCTCCATCACCAAAATTTAGGTTACTTCACCACTAAGAAACTAAGTTAGAAGACTATTAATTAATGACACATATTTCATATACATTGGTAATAATTCAAATTATATAATGAGGCTAGATAGTATATTTATTCACCATACTCATATGGTATTACGGTATAATTATTGTAAACAATTTCAATATTTTACTTCTTGTCCATCACAAAAATTTTAAGTTACTTTATCACTAGGAAACTAAGTTAAAAGACCATTAATTAATGAAACATATTTTATATACATTTATAATAATTCAAATTATATAATGAGACTCGATAGCATATTTATTCACCATACCCATATGGTATTATGGTATAATATATGTAAACAATATCAATATTTTTCTTCTTCTCCATCACCAAATTTTAGGTTACTTCATCACTAAAAAACTAAGTTAAAAAACAATTAATTAATGACACATATTTCATATGCATTGGTAATAATTAAAATTATATAACAAGGCTCGATAGTATATTTATTCACCTTATTCACATTTTGTTATGGTATAATAGATGTAAACAATTTCAATATTTTTCTTCTTATCAATCACCAAATTTTATGTTACTTCATCACTAAGAAACTAAGTTAAAAGACCATAAAATAATGACACATATTTCATATACATTGGTAATAATTCAAATTATATAACAAGGCTCGATAGTTTATTTCTTCACCATATTCACGTTGTGTTATAGTATAATAGATGTACACAATTTAAATATTTTTCTTTTTCTCCATCACCAAAATTTCGGTTACTTCACCACTAAGAAACTAAGTTAGAAGACTATTAATTAATGACACATATTTCATATACATTGGTAATAATTCAAATTATTTAATGAGGCTAGATAGTATATTTATTCATCATACTCATATGATATTACGGTATAATTATTGTAAACAATTTCAATATTTTACTTCTTGTCCATCACAAAATTTTAAGTTACTTTATCACTAGGAAACTAAGTTAAAAGACCATTAATTAATGACACATATTTTATATACATTTATAATAATTCAAATTATATAATGAGACTCGATAGCATATTTATTCACCATACCCATATGGTATTATGGTATAATATATGTAAACAAAATCAATATTTTTCTTCTTCTTCATCACCAAATTTTAGGTTACTTCATCACTATAAAACTAAGTTAAAAAACAATTAATTAATGACACATATTTCATATACATTGGTAATAATTAAAATTATATAACAAGGCTCGATAGTATATTTGTTCACCTTATTCACATTTTGTTATGGTATAATAGATGTAAACAATTTAAATATTTTTCTTCTTATCAATCACCAAATTTTAGGTTACTTCATCACTAAGAAACTAAGTTAAAAGATCATAAAATAATGACACATATTTCATATACATTGGTAATAATTCAAATTATATAACAAGGCTCGATAGTTTATTTCTTCACCATATTCACATTGTGTTATGGTATAATAGATGTAAACAATTTCAATATTTTTCTTTTTCTCCATCACCAATATTTAGGTTACTTCACCACTAAGAAACTAAGTTAAAAGACTATTAATTAATGACACATATTTCATATACATTGGTAATAATTCAAATTATATAATGAGGCTCGATAGTATATTTATTCACCATACTCATATGGTATTACGGTATAATTATTGTAAACAATTTTAATATTTTACTTCTTGTCCATCACAAAATTTTAAGTTACTTTATCACTAGGAAACTAAGTTAAAAGACCATTAATTAATGACACATATTTTATATACATTTATAATAATTCAAATTATATAATGAGACTCGATAGCATATTTATTCACCATACCCATATGGTATTATGGTATAATATATGTAAACAATATCAATATTTTTCTTCTTCTCCATCACCAAATTTTAGGTTACTTCATCACTAAAAAACTAAGTTAAAAAACAATTAATGAATGACACATATTTCATATACATTGGTAATAATTAAAATTATATAACAAGGCTCGATAGTATATTTGTTAACCTTATTCACATTTTGTTATGGTATAATAGATGTAAACAATTTAAATATTTTTCTTCTTATCAATCACCAAATTTTAGGTTACTTCATCACTAAGAAACTAAGTTAAAAGATCATAAAATAATGACACATATTTCATATACATTGGTAATAATTCAAATTATATAACAAGGCTCGATAGTTTATTTCTTCACCATATTCAAGTTGTGTTATGGTCTAATAGATGTAAACAATTTCAATATTTTTCTTTTTCTCTATCACCAAAATTTAGGTTACTTCACCACTAAAAAACTAAGTTAAAAGACTATTAATTAATGACACATATTTCATATACATTGGTAATAATTCAAATTATATAATGAGGCTCAATAGTATATTTATTCACCTTACTCATATGGTATTACGGTATAATTATTGTAAACAATTTCAATATTTTACTTCTTGTCCATCACAAAATTTTAAGTTACTTTATCACTAGGAAACTAAGTTAAAACACCATTAATTAATGAAACATATTTTATATACATTTATAATAATTCAAATTATATAATGAGACTCGATAGCATATTTATTCACCATGCTCATATGGTATTATGGTATAATATATGTAAACAATATCAATATTTTTCTTCTTCTCCATCACCTAATTTTAGGTTACTTCATCACTAAAAAACTAAGTTAAAAAACAATTAATTAATGATACATATTTCATATACATTGGTAATAATTAAAATTATATAACAATGCTCGATAGTATATTTGTTCACCTTATTCACATTTTGTTATGGTATAATAAATGTAAACAATTTCAATATTTTTCTTCTTATCAATCACCAAATTATAGGTTACTTCATCACTAAGAAACTAAGTTAAAAGACCATAAAAAATGACACATATTTCATATACATTGGTAATAATTCAAATTATATAACAAGGCTCGATAGTTTATTTCTTCGACATATTCACGTTGTGTTATAGTATGATAGATGTAAACAATTTCAATATTTTTCTTTTTCTCGATCACTAAAATTTAGGTTACTTCACCACTAAGAAACTAAGTTAGAAGACTATTAATTAATGACACATATTTCATATACATTCACTACGCCAAATAAGCTATTTAATAGCGCTTTTTTTTGTTTTTGATAGCGCTTAAAAGTGCTATTAACCGCGCCACTATTGTAAATATTTCTTATTTAATAGCACTTTAAAAGCGCTATTAAAGTACCAATTTATAATAGCGTTTTAATTAAAGTGCTATCAAAGTCAGTATTTTGCATGTTTTTTGTTTGTTTTTTTATAGCACTCTAAACAAAAAGCGCTAATATATAACATATATTTGATAGCGCTTTCAAATAAAGTGCTAATAAATGGTACATATTTGGTACAATATTTTCAACCGTGCCGCTAATTGCAAGATTTCCAACCACAGTGATTTCCGCAACAACTTTCTTACCAATATCAATGTAATGAATGTAGCATTTTAATCAAGTCTTAATAAATGAAGCTGCTTATTCAACCTCAAAACCTTTTATACTTAACTAACAGAAAAATCTGGGTTTCCCCTATTAAATAATACTACACTTGTTGAATGAGGCGTGGTAAAACAACAATAGAGCCTATTTTATATATGAGATACTATTCATCCCTATTTACATGATATGATATGATATATCTATATAATGAATACAAAGTTTAGAAATGGTCATGAAATAAAATCATATTTTGTATATAAGAGATACTATCCCTAGTTACATGATATGTTATATCTATACAAAGAATATAAAGATTATAAAAGATCATGAAATGAAATCATATTTTGTATAAGAGATACTATCCCTAGTTACATGATATGTTATATCTATACAAAGAACACAAAGAATATAAAATGGTCATGAAATCATAATAAAATCAGGATTCAGGCGCACTTCGAAGCAAATGGTTGTTGAGACTAACAAAGCAAGCTTCATGCTAAGCTTTCTCTTTGGAAGCTAACAAGTGGCTACCAATAGCATCATTGTTTAAATACAGATAAGTTTTTTTGCCAGAAGATGTAGTAGTAGGTACGTTAGAAAAACCAGTGTAGTTGTCATTCAACTTCGATAAGCATATTTTCGCAATAAAATCAAAGAGCTCGTTTTCTTGCACAAAAGGTTGGGCTGCATAGTCTTCAACAGGCATCCACTGAATAGAAAAACAAACTATGTTGGAATATGGTCACCACCAGTCAAAAAACATCCTACAACTTTATAAAGATACCTTAGTTGCTTCAATTTCTGAGGCCTGACTTTGAATGTCAAAGGATTGAGGTTGCAACATGCAAACAAAGAACAAGTCTGATTTCTGAAAAAAAGATTTATGGCTTTGCCTGATACCAAAGAGACAGGAAGAAAAACATAAAGGTCAGTAGCAGGCCAGATATTGAAGACAGAAAATTTGTGAACTATATGCATGCATTCTAATGATTCTTGTGTAAAAGATATAGTTGTGCCAACATTCAGACTGCATGCTAGTTGACGAGGTTGGTGTGTGTAAGTCACTCTTACCTGAAAGCTAAAACTTCAACAAACTCTGTCTCTACCTACATGAAGAACAAAAGTAATGGCATTAAGACTTCGAAATGAATAGTCCATTTTTTGTTTTAATATACAATGGTGTAATATAAATTTTGAAGAATGTTTAGTTAAATATATTAATAACAGACGGTGACAAGAAAAAAATGAAATAGAACAATTTAATCTGTACTATATTTTGTGTTTGCTTACCCCTGTCTCTTCCTTCACTTCTCTAATTACAGCATCACAAATATCCTCGCCCTGCAAATATGATAAAAATGAATCAAAAGAACATATTATAAGTTTCATAATTTGATGAATAATCATGTTGATATATACTTCATTAACAGCTCCAGTAGGCATCTTCCATACACCTGTGCCTCCAAATCTACCACTGGTTTCCTGAACCACAAGCACCTATCAAACAAAACGAGACTGTTTAAAGTATAATATAACAGAATGATTGATGAGAAAGAGAAATGAAAGAGGAAGAAGATTACCTCTCTTTTGTTATTGACGACAAAAGCACCAACGCCGAGACGGTGTGAAGCATTTGCAGGAATGCTATCAGGGGTATGAGGGATCCAATATACAAGCATCAAGTAATCTGACTCAGCATGATGGTACCTAAATCCAGCCTGCAATGCAATAAAAAATTCAGATAATACTAATATTGGGTATTCAATTACCAAAATCTTATTGGTCCTAAATCATTCAATTTGCCTCAGTCATCATAAATAGAGTGATCACTCTAATTCTACACAAACAAATCACCTTACCGATTCCTTTATGACAAAATTCCAGACATAAACTCATTAAAAATATTTGGCACACTATGTTATGCTTCTATCCTTCTGTCAAGATTATGGTAAATCTAATTTACATTTTGTTCATGCAAAGAAGCCACAAAAGTTATGCAATTAATTTCTTACTTTATGCAGCCAAGACTTTCTTCAATCCCGATTTCTGATCTGCATTGAGCCGAGGTGGGAATTTGATGTTGAACTTTATCCTCAAGTTTCCCTTCTTTGTTGGATCCTTTGGCAGTGGCATTCCTTCTCTTGGAACAACTTCCTCATACTCAGGATGAACGACATTGTTGACGATTATAGTCAAGTTTCTACCATCAAGTGTCGTGAGATTCACTGTGCAGCCGGATAATGCTTCTGCAAGAGAGATCTTCTGAGTGGCTACCAGATCATTTCCTTCACGAGTGAAGACGCTGTGTGGTTTTTCATCGATGACGAACACAATATCAGCAGGTACGAACACAGAGAATCAACGCTGGGTGATGAAACTGAATATTCAACACTGTGTTGAATATTGTTACTTTTGTTTTGGGATTGACCAGGAATCTAAAAAGTTGTATTAATTAATATTAGTGATCAAATAATAAAACAAGTAGCGATCAAGCAACTTGATTATAAGTAATTTACCTTTTCACATTCAGCAACAAATTCAAGAAGTTTCGTTGGCCATGGCACAATTATTCCTATTGCTTGGCCATGGATACATCTCCATCTTCAACAGATATAGGCAATGGGGCCTTATCATCGACGCGGTTGGTTGCACATCTGGCATGCAGTGGCAGATCTGACATTCGCATAGGTACATTGCTCACAAGACCAATGATTATCATCAGTAATTCTGCTGGACATGCTAGCTCGAACCGTCCCCTTTCCTCTTCCGCCTCTTCCCTTGCTGCTCCCTGCAGCATTTTTTGAACCCGTTGCTTTACTGGAAGCAGCTCCATTGCTATCCACATCGCATAAACCATTCTCTAATTCCCTAACCAAATTCTCAAAGTAGTTTCTAGTCACACTGCAAAAACAAATGAATTAGAAAATTAAACCATACAATTTGGGCACCATAATTATTCATTAGCTATGTCATTATTATACTATTCATTGGTATATAACTGCATGCTGAAACAAATTGTCACACCAACAAAACCAATAGATGGTAAACATTCTAAAACATGAATAGAAAAGCAAACAAAACAACATGCCAAACATATAAATTTCATCAAATGCACGATAGGTATGAATCATGATGTACAAAATGCATATATTTCCATTACAAGATTCCATCTCGAGATGTAATAGCAGATTTACCATTTCTAATTCAAAACAAATGTACAAAGTATGTCTCTTTTCAGCAAACTTGAGGAAAATGTATCAAATATGAAGTCAAACTCCAATCAGAACAAAAAAAGTAAATAAAAAAATGGGAAAATTCTGAACAAAAACAATAATAAGTAATAACATTAACCTGGTCAATCCAGCTAGCTTTGTGCGAAAATCATTGAAATCTTTAGATGGGCCATCACCATTGAGGAATACTTGGAGTTCCTTTTCGGCACATTGATGAAGTCTCTCTAAACCTGATTCAGCCTCACCTGAAGATAAAGAAATTGAATAGTTTATTTCAAGGAAATCACCCAAAATGCAAGACATCTAATCAAATTGAAATTGACAACAAAAAAACCTTGCAAGTACTCAAAGAACTGCTTTTTCGCATGCTCATGCTCCGCTAAATAGAATCCATATGCATATGTCCACTTTAATACCCGCCTGCACTCAATTATCTGCAGAGGTGATACAGAATTTAGAGAGATATTAGACGTCTATTTTACAACAGTCAAAGACATTTCACATCACCCAGCTTCAGAAAATAGTTTAATGAAAAACTTCATTTGTGTCCTTGGGAGAGGGTTATGAAAATATGACTACACAACAGTCTAAGAAATGTGTAAGGCAAATTTATCACCCAGGTCATCAAACAGGGATTTGAGACATGCATCATAAAACTAATTTTTTAATTGTGATACACAAATCATACCAAATCATAAAGTCTGGAAAGGACAAGAAAAATAGCATGAAACATATTAAATAAATTATGCACTGTTGAAGCTAAATTATCGATGTGAGATGAGTCACCTAATCTACGGATAGTGTTCTCGAAACATGTCAAAATTCAGCAGGAAAAGAAAATTTCATAAGGAATGACATTTGATGAAAACTAGTAGCTAGCATGATTGTTAATAAAAAAATTGTGAGGCATCAACGCAGGGCAAATATTTCAACCGAGTAATACCGGTTAGTTAAATCAAACCAAAACTCGATCAAGATGTTTCACACCAGCTGAATGCCGTTCCTACCATCTGCAAGATTCAGTTTTTCCTCATAAAGCTTTATGAGATCAGAAGAATGCTCCTCAAAGCCTTTCACAAACTTCTCCACAAACAACTTCTCAGATACAACAAACGGCGTATACACGCCTGCATCCTTCTGTCGCAAGCCTTTCGAGATAAGAAACTGCACAACCGAAGCTCTAGGAATAATCCTCTTCTCGAGACTGCATTGAAGAATTCTAGGAGCTCTGGCAAGGTCCAAAGAATCCAAACCTAGGTGGTAAACCCAAAAATCCATGATTGCATTGATTTTCCGAGGCGATACCAGCATACAGAAAGGATGCTTCTTAAATGTTTCAAGAATCTGTTCATCAGACCAGCCCCATTTCTTAAAGGTTTCAACTTTCTCATCCCACTGCGCTTTAGTGGCACTTCTCTTCGCGAGAAACGCCTTACTAAAAGCGGAAGTGGAGCCATCGAAACCGAGTTCTTTCAGTTCTTCAACAGTGTGCAACAAATCAAATGAGCAAATTGATATGCAGGAACTATATGATTCTCTAAGCTTCTTCTAAGAAGTCTAGGGCTTGAATTAACAATACGAACAATATCAGAGGAAGAAGCGCCTTTGGAAAGTAAAAATTGAAACTTTGGTAAAAGAACCTTGTTGGGGTCGCATGAGAGTAGCCAGGGTTCACGTCTGATGATGTCGCGGAGTTGGGAGATGGAGAAGCCGTGGGTAGTGAAGAAGGCGAGAATTGAATCGGGTTTTTGGGAGTTGGAGAGAGTGAGATTTTGGAAAGCTTTGGAAGCGGTTTCTGGGGAGAAGCCGCAGTTGTTGATGAGGTAAGAGACGGTGAAAGATTGTGGGTTAGTGGTGGAAATGGAGAAGAATTTGAAAAGGGTTTTTGGTATAGGAGAAGGAGAAGAAGATGGTGTTGTGAGTAGAAGGAAAATGTTTTTGTTTTTGGCGGTGAGTGGATCTGAAAATGTGTTTTTTTTTTTTTTTATCAATTAATTAATTAATTCATTATTATATATAACATAGCGCTTTTTAATAAATGCTATTATATAGGTAGTCAAATAATAGCGTTTTGGTACAAAGTGCTATCTTAAAGAAGTTTAATAATAGCGTTTTGGTACAAAGTGCTATCAAAATTACATAGTCTGTATTATATAATAGCGCCCGATTAAAAAGTGCTATTATAAATGTGTTTTTTCCATTTTAATAGCATTTTTTTTAAAAGTGCTATTAAATTAGGTGATACAAAAAATCATTTTTGGCGTAGTGATTGGTAATAATTCAAATTATATAATGAGGCTCGATAGTATATTTATTCACCATACTCATATGGTATTACGGTATAATTATTGTAAACAATTTCAATATTTTACTTCTTGTCCATCACAAAATTTTAAGTTACTTTATCACTAGGAAACTAAGTTAAAAGACCATTAATTAATGACACATATTTTATATACATTTATAATAATTCAAATTATATAATGAGACTCGATAGCATATTTATTCACCATACCCATATGGTATTATGGTATAATATATGTAAACAATATTAATATTTTTCTTCTTCTCCATCACCAAATTTTAGGTTACTTCATCACTAAAAAACTAAGTTAAAAAACAATTAATTAATGACACATATTTCATATACATTGGTAATAATTAAAATTATATAACAAGGCTCGATAGTATATTTGTTCACCTTATTCACATTTTGTTATGGTATAATAGATGTAAACAATTTAAATATTTTTCTTCTTATCAATCACCAAATTTTAGGTTACTTCATCACTAAGAAACTAAGTTAAAAGATCATAAAATAATGACACATATTTCATATACATTGATAATAATTCAAATTATATAACAAGGCTCGATAGTTTATTTCTTCACCATATTCAAGTTGTGTTATGGTCTAATAGATGTAAACAATTTCAATATTTTTCTTTTTCTCCATCACTAAAATTTAGGTTACTTCACCACTAAAAAACTAAGTTAAAAGACTATTAATTAATGACACATATTTCATATACATTGGTAATAATTCAAATTATATAATGAGGCTCGATAGTATATTTATTCACCTTACTCATATGGTATTACGGTATAATTATTGTAAACAATTTTAATATTTTACTTCTTGTCCATCACAAAATTTTAAGTTACTTTATCACTAGGAAACTAAGTTAAAAGACCATTAATTAATGAAACATATTTTATATACATTTATAATAATTCAAATTATATAATGAGACTCGATAGCATATTTATTCACCATACCCATATGGTATTATGGTATAATATATGTAAACAATATCAATATTTTTCTTCTTCTCCATCACCTAATTTTAGGTTACTTCATCACTAAAAAACTAAGTTAAAAAACAATTAATTAATGATACATATTTCATATACATTGGTAATAATTAAAATTATATAACAATGCTTGATAGTATATTTGTTCACCTTATTCACATTTTGTTATGGTATAATAGATGTAAACAATTTCAATATTTTTCTTCTTATCAATCACCAAATTATAGGTTACTTCATCACTAAGAAACTAAGTTAAAAGACCATAAAATAATGACACATATTTCATATACATTGGTAATAATTCAAATTATATAACAAGGCTCGATAGTTTATTTCTTCACCATATTCACGTTGTGTTATAGTATGATAGATGTAAACAATTTCAATATTTTTCTTTTTCTCCATCACTAAAATTTAGGTTACTTCACCACTAAGAAAGTAAGTTAGAAGACTATTAATTAATGACACATATTTCATATACATTGGTAATAATTCAAATTATATAATGAGGCTCGATAGTATATTTATTCACCATACTCATATGGTATTACGGTATAATTATTGTAAACAATTTCAATATTTTACTTCTTGTCCATCACAAAATTTTAAGTTACTTTATCACTAGGAAACTAAGTTAAAAGACCATTAATTAATGAAACATATTTTATATACATTTATAATAATTCAAATTATATAATGAGACTCGATAGCATATTTATTCACCATACCCATATGGTATTATGGTATAATATATGTAAACAATATCAATATTTTTCTTCTTCTCCATCACCTAATTTTAGGTTACTTCATCACTAAAAAACTAAGTTAAAAAACAATTAATTAATGATACATATTTCATATACATTGGTAATAATTAAAATTATATAACAATGCTTGATAGTATATTTGTTCACCTTATTCACATTTTGTTATGGTATAATAGATGTAAACAATTTCAATATTTTTCTTCTTATCAATCACCAAATTATAGGTTACTTCATCACTAAGAAACTAAGTTAAAAGACCATAAAATAATGACACATATTTCATATACATTGGTAATAATTCAAATTATATAACAAGGCTCGATAGTTTATTTCTTCACCATATTCACGTTGTGTTATAGTACGATAGATGTAAACAATTTCAATATTTTTCTTTTTCTCCATCACTAAAATTTAGGTTACTTCACCACTAAGAAAGTAAGTTAGAAGACTATTAATTAATGACACATATTTCATATACATTGGTAATAATTCAAATTATATAATGAGGCTCGATAGTATATTTATTCACCATACTCATATGGTATTACGGTATAATTATTGTAAACAATTTCAATATTTTACTTCTTGTCCATCACAAAATTTTAAGTTACTTTATCACTAGGAAACTAAGTTAAAAGACCATTAATTAATGAAACATATTTTATATACATTTATAATAATTCAAATTATATAATGAGACTCGATAGCATATTTATTCACCATACCCATATGGTATTATGGTATAATATATGTAAACAATATCAATATTTTTCTTCTTCTCCATCACCTAATTTTAGGTTACTTCATCACTAAAAAACTAAGTTAAAAAACAATTAATTAATGACACATATTTCATATACATTGGTAATAATTAAAATTATATAACAATCCTCGATAGTATATTTGTTCACCTTATTCACATTTTGTTATGGTATAATAGATGTAAACAATTTCAATATTTTTCTTCTTATCAATCACCAAATTATAGGTTACTTCATCACTAAGAAACTAAGTTAAAAGACCATAAAATAATGACACATATTTCATATACATTGGTAATAATTCAAATTATATAACAAGGCTCGATAGTTTATTTCTTCACCATATTCACGTTGTGTTATAGTATAATAGATGTAAACAATTTCAATATTTTTCTTTTTCTCCATCACTAAAATTTAGGTTAGTTCACCACTAAGAAACTAAGTTAGAAGACTATTAATTAATGACACATATTTCATATACATTGGTAATAATTCAAATTATATAATGAGGCTCGATAGTATATTTATTCACCATACTCATATGGTATTACGGTATAATTATTGTAAACAATTTCAATATTTTACTTCTTGTCCATCACAAAATTTTAAGTTACTTTATCACTAGGAAACTAAGTTAAAAGACCATTAATTAATGAAACATATTTTATATACATTTATAATAATTCAAATTATATAATGAGACTCGATAGCATATTTATTCACCATACCCATATGGTATTATGGTATAATATATGTAAACAATATCAATATTTTTCTTCTTCTCCATCACCTAATTTTAGGTTACTTCATCACTAAAAAACTAAGTTAAAAAACAATTAATTAATGACACATATTTCATATACATTGGTAATAATTAAAATTATATAACAATCCTCGATAGTATATTTGTTCACCTTATTCACATTTTGTTATGGTATAATAGATGTAAACAATTTCAATATTTTTCTTCTTACCAATCACCAAATTATAGGTTACTTCATCACTAAGAAACTAAGTTAAAAGACCATAAAATAATAACACATATTTCATATACATTGGTAATAATTCAAATTATATAACAAGGCTCGATAGTTTATTTCTTCACCATATTCACGTTGTGTTATAGTATAATAGATGTAAACAATTTCAATATTTTTCTTTTTCTCCATCACTAAAATTTAGGTTACTTCACCACTAAGAAACTAAGTTAGAAGACTATTAATTAATGACACATATTTCATATACATTGGTAATAATTCAAATTATATAATGAGGCTCGATAGTATATTTATTCACCATACTCATATGGTATTACGGTATAATTATTGTAAACAATTTCAATATTTTACTTCTTGTCCATCACAAAATTTTAAGTTACTTTATCACTAGGAAACTAAGTTAAAAGACCATTAATTAATGACACATATTTTATATACATTTATAATAATTCAAATTATATAATGAGACTCGATAGCATATTTATTCACCATACCCATATGGTATTATGGTATAATATATGTAAACAATATTAATATTTTTCTTCTTCTCCATCACCAAATTTTAGGTTACTTCATCACTAAAAAACTAAGTTAAAAAACAATTAATTAATGACACATATTTCATATACATTGGTAATAATTAAAATTATATAACAAGGCTCGATAGTATATTTGTTCACCTTATTCACATTTTGTTATGGTATAATAGATGTAAACAATTTAAATATTTTTCTTCTTATCAATCACCAAATTTTAGGTTACTTCATCACTAAGAAACTAAGTTAAAAGATCATAAAATAATGACACATATTTCA